TCATGGGTTCCATAGAAGAATACCCAGGAGGACTCCATTATTGTGAGAAAGACAAAAAGTCAGACAGGAGTTCATTAAAGTTCATGTTGTCAAGCTCAAAGTTTCTGGAAAATATTTCTTGAACTGATGAGACTAAACAGGAGCTTTCTGGCTCGAGTCCCATCAGTTGTGTTTTTCTGATTATTGTGGACGGATAACAACAAATTTACCTTCGTCTTTAATAAGAACATGTCCAATGTTGACACATGTTTGAATGATACAAACTGAAGAATTAAAGTTTGTGTTTGACAGGACTGATGAGCTAACGGCTAGTTTAAACAGCTAAAACTGAAGTGAATTGTTGCATCTTCAAACAGCTTGAATGTCAAAACTTTTATTACAACTCTATAAAACAATATTTGATAAACATCCACATGTTGTTTGTTCACTCTGTAGTAATTGACTAAAATATCTCTGGTTATTTATTAGCATAAATATCACATGAAGCATCAAAGAGTCATGTTTTATAAAGTCAAAGTTCTGATTCAGAAGTGGATCCATTTGTCATCACATTACAAAGTTTATTTAAATGTTACTTATTTAGAAATATTTCAATATTTTAGTACTTACTTTGCTTTTTTGGAGGCTTTGAGAACTGGCAGCAGCCTCAGAAGATGCTCCTTTTTAGCAGAATATTTATGCAGGTTAAACACATCCAGATCTTTTCCTGATGTCAGTAAGATGAAGACCAGAGCTGACCAGTGAGCAGGAGACAGTTCATCTGTGGAGAGACTTCCTGAACTCAGAGACTGTTGGATCTCCTCCACTAGAGAACCATCATTCAGTTCATTCAGACAGTGGAACAGATTGATGCTTTTCTCTGCAGACAGATTCTTACTGATCAGAAACTTGATGTACTGGACTGTTTCCTGATTGGTCTGTGAGCTACTTCCTGTCTGTGTCAGCAGGCCTCGTAGGAGAGTCTGATTGGTCTGCAGTGAAAGACCCAGGAGGAACCGGAGGAACAAGTCCAGGTGTCCATTTGGACTCTGTAATGCCTGGTTCACAGCACTCTGATGGAGATCATTAAGATTTATATTTTTAAAAAACTTGGACCACAAAGAAACTGTTTTTTGTTTTTCTTCCATCAGATTGAGCCCAGAGTTGATGAAGGTCAGATGGACATGAAGAGCAGCCAGAAACTCCTGAACGCTCAGATGGACGAAGCAGAACACCTTGTCCTGGTACAGGCCTCTCTCCTCTTTAAAGATCTGTGTGAACACTCCTGAGTACACTGAGGCTGCTCTGATATCGATGCCACACTCTGTCAGGTCTGATTCATAGAAGATCAGGTTTCCTTTCTGCAGCTGCTCAAAAGCCACTTTTCCCAGAGACTCAATCATCTTCCTGCTCTCTGGACTCCAGAGTGGATCTGTCTCAGCTCCTCCATCATACTTGACCTTCTTGACTTTGGTGTGAACCAGCAGGAAGTGGATGTACATCTCAGTCAGGGTGTTGGGCAGCTCTCCTCCCTCTCTGCTTTTCAACACGTCCTCCAGAACTGTAGCAGTGATCCAGCAGAAGACTGGGATGTGGCACATGATGTGGAGGCTTCGTGATGTCTTGATGTGAGAGATGATCCTGCTGGCCTGCTCCTCATCTCTGAACCTCTTCCTGAAGTACTCCTCCTTCTGTGGGTCAGTGAAGCCTCTGACCTCTGTCACCATGCCAACACACTCAGCAGGGATCTGATTGGCTGCTGCAGGTCGTGTGGTTATCCAGAGGCGAGCAGAGGGAAGCAGTTTCCCCCTGATGAGGTTTGTCAGCAGCACATCCACTGAGGTGGACTCTGTAACATCAGTCAGGATCTGATTGTTGTGGAAGTCCAGAGGAAGTCGACACTCATCCAGACCATCAAAGATGAACACAAGCTGGAAGTCTTCAAAGCTGCACATTTCTTTGGTTTCAGTAAAGAAGTGATGAACAAGTTCCACCAAGCTGAACTTCTTCTCTTTCAGCACGTTCAGCTCTCTGAAAGTGAATGGAAACATGAAGTGGATGTCCTGGTTGGCTTTGTCTTCAGCCCAGTCCAGAGTGAACTTCTGTGTTAAGACTGTTTTCCCAATGCCAGCCACTCCCTTTGTCATCACTGTTCTGACTGGTTCATGTCTTCCAGGTGGGAGTTTAAAGATGTCTTCTTGTCTGATGGTTGTTTCTGGTGTGTGTGGTTTCCTGGATGCTGTTTCAATCTGTCTGACCTCATGTTCATCATTGACCTCTCCAGTCCCTCCCTCTGTGATGTAGAGCTCTGTGTAGATCTCATTCAGAAGGGTTGGGTTTCCTGCTTTAGCAATCCCCTCAAACACACACTGGAACCTCTTCTTCACACAACATTTAAGGTTACGATGACAAACTGCTGCAACTTGTCCTGAACAAACAAAATACATACATTTAATAATTAAAGAATAAATTCCTCTCAACAATGAAATCTCAAAAGTTAAATGTTTATAGAAATCCTCTTACTGCTCTGCAGACGGTCAGCCAGCTCCTCCTGCTTCATCCTCCTCAGGAAGTAAACTGTGATCTTCATCAATGCCTCTCTGCTCCTCCTCTGCTCTTCATCATCACCCTCCAACACCTCCTCATCCTCCCTCTTACTCTCTAAGCATTCTGGGTAATCTGGACTCAGAACCTTCTGGATCTTCTTCAGCTCGTTCTTCACAAAAGTGACCATGTTGTCCTCCAGCAGCTGGAACAGAAAAATATCTGAATGACACATCAGACTGAAATCATGGAGCCAAACATCAGATCCATGTTGGACAGAGTGACAGTCTACTGGTCTACATGTTGGACAGACTGACAGTCCACTGGTCTATGTGTTGGACAGACTGACAGTCCACTGGTCTACGTGTTGGACAGACCAACAGTCCACTGGTCTACATGTTGGACAGACTGACAGTCCACTGGTCTATGTGTTGGACAGACCGACAGTCCACTGGTCTACGTGTTGGACAGACTGACAGTCCACTGGTCTACGTGTTGGACAGACCGACAGTCCACTGGTCTATGTGTTGGACAGACTGACAGTCCACTGGTCTACGTGTTGGACAGACTGACAGTCCACTGGTCTACAAAGTGCAGCATGGAGATGACTGTGAACACAACACATGGAAAAGTACTTGTTGTACATGAACGCACCATAAATATGGAGTCCAGCTGTGTTTGATGCTGCTGGGCAGACTGAGCACTGGGAACCTCCGAGCTCTGCTGGTTCACTCTGTGGAGGAATCATGAAGAATTAGCTCCACTTGTGTCTGTCCACACAGAGACAAACAGCAGCTAAAGGTCCATGTGGAGTCAGGATCCAGAAACTATTTGTCCTCCTCCATCCAGCAACACCTGCCACCTGAGTGGAAGTTCCTACCTACACTGTGTTTGAAGCAAAGGTCAAAGGTGACACCTGCTGGACCACCTGGTGACCTACAGACACTCAGAAACTCCTCCTACAACCTCCATTCTTTCACTTTGACTGCTGAGTTTGGAGAAAACATCCAACACACACCGCTTCACATGTGAACATAGAAATGTGTGAAAAAGAGCTGAGCTCACATGAAACACATGTTGGAATGAAAACATTTCAGACTGACTCAGTTACATTTTACACAGTTACAACATTTAGAGACAGCTCACCTCTCTGCTGATGGAGGCTGGACTGATTTAAAATCAATAAGACCACCCTTTGACATGTCGCTCTTTAAGGACACACAGCTGGATTCAGGTCCAGCTTTGAGTCTCTGATGGATCCTGTTAAAAAAGTTACATTTAATGATTGAGTCATGGTGATTGGTGTCAGATCCTGAGTCTGGATCCTGGAACATTCTGGATGAAAGTGACAGGATTATTTGTTCTCAGTTATTGATCCTGAAACGATCCTTTCCAGCTGCAGGACACCACATCTGTAATTCTACAGTCCATCTTCTCCAGTTCTCCTCCTCTTCCTGCAGCAGACATGTTGTTCTTCTTGAACTGGATTAAAGTGGATGAGTGTGTAGTTGAGTAATCCAGATTATTGTCAGCAGCAGAGCAGAGAGCTGCAGCCTCCTCTGTGTTTGTTAGAGACTGAGAGAGGAGAAGGTGGACTCAGAATCACAGCCTGAACTCTCTGGTTCTGGAAGTTCTCTGAAACTACACAACAAGCTGAACACAGCAGCCTTTCTTTGTGTCAGCTGCTGGAAAAACCTGAACCTCCACTCAGAGACCAGAACCAAGGAGGGTGTAGACCAGATCTGTGAGCTCAGACTCTGTCCCAGAATGAAGGAGACGTGGAAACCAGCTGGAAACCATTCAGACTTTAAACCAGTTATAGGAGACCAGATTGATACCAAAAACTAGTAAAACCAGCAAAAAGTCCAGATTGTTGCTAATGTTCTGGAAACTAACAGTGAAACTGGTTGTGGTGGGAGTTCTGGTTCTGTCTCTGTCCGTCAGAGTTTTAGAGGAGGGTCTTGGTTTTTCCACTGGAGATTTGATCCTGGATGTTTGTAACTGTCAGTCTGAGACAGCTGAGAGTTTCTGTTACCATGGAGACGGTAATGAGCTCCAACTTCAGCTGATGTTCATCATTTCATCTAAAATCATCTGATGGATCATCTGAACATGAGAAGAATAAAAAGCAGAGCTGAAGGCTCAGTTTGGTTCTGGTTCCTGCTGGATTCTGTCATCAGCAGCTTTGTTCACGACACAATCAGCATCCTTTAAAACTCACATGATGTGACATTTATTCTCTTTGTTCAACAAGAGTTTGGAACAAGTTACAGACAGAAAGCAGCAACTTAGTCTCAGAGAAATGAAATAAAAATCAACTCAAAGTCGTTCAACACAAAACAATTATCTTTAATATCATCCAGCCTCGACTGGACTCTGAGAG